GGGGGGAGGACCAGGGAGGATGATTCAACCACTCAACCACTAGATGTCGCTGAAAACAACAAATCCTACACACTGTGACTTTAAGATGGCTGCCACAGCTAACCAACATTATTAGACACAAAAATGGTTATACCTCAGTCAGTTTTACAAACATTGAGTTGGACATTGTAGTAGCTGGCCTTCATTCACAACACATTTTCTGGACGGGACATCTTGTGATTACATTTCTCAACATTTGATGATTTTAGACGTGGAAGGCGGCGGGCGATGCACATTCCAGCCTTTATTGTGGAGATTGTCATCTGGAGCTGTTTTTAAGGGCATAATGAAGTTGCAGGCATGGACAGATTAAGTCAGAATTAGTGTGGGATTATAACTCAGCTGTAGCTATGTTTGCACAGCTCTGATCCAAAAAAAATGTTCATTTTGCCGGCAGTGACTTTGTAGAGTTGGGCACATCTCGAATGGCCAAAAATAAATAAATAAAATTAAAAAAAAAACTCCAACCATGAGTCAGTTCTGATGTGTACATAACTGTAGCATGTTGCACTTCCTGACTATGTGCCTGTGAGTATGAATTTTCCACCTGCTGTGTGTCTCAGTTTCACATCAGTGCCGCCTATACAACACAAACAAGCCCACAGTTATCACTTTCATGATCACTGTTCCTTAGGGTGATTGTCTTTGGTAGCATGAACGTCTGCAACACATGATTCCTGTCAGGGATTGTTCCTGCACGCGTTTTCTGCTGATGCATTAAAGAAATGTGTTTCTTTTTTCTTTTCTTGTCTGGTCATTATAAAGATAACAGGAAAAATGGGAGAGAAAAGAGAACCACTAAACCTCCCGAGGGAATCGCCAACAGAGACCGCTTTGATTTCAGCCCGCTGCCGTAGCAACAGCAGCCTCTGCGTCGAAGATGGAGCACAGATTGCTGGGAGTTTGATGACTCTATCCCCCTCTAAGCAGTGCTGCTTCAGGGCGTTAAAAAGTGTAGTACGGTGGCTGCACGCAGTTAAAACGTCCACGGATGAAACAACAGTAGTATTTTCCCCATTATTTTTAACGAGAGGTTCCTAACAAATGCGATGAACATTTAATTGGCTTAGCTTCATGTTTGCCTTTGAGTCTCATATATATATATA